TGTTAGTGTTTTTATTTGAAAAGGCTCGATATATGAACAAGATTCAAATCATAGAGATAGAATAATCAAGACTTTTCCCCTTTATTCCGTACCCTGCATGAAATTTCTTTTAAGACAATTTTAACCTCAATCATACACAAATATTAACCACGCCTACAACACACATATGCAAATACGATCAGCCAGCTTTCGTTTAGGGGTTTGCATTTAAAAATATTCTAGGCAACAGAAAAATAAAATATATGACCTGACCCAACATTAAGTCAAGGTCATGTAAAGTGCACTCTTCATCACATATCTACAAATATACTGATTTCTTAGAGCGGATTTTAGGCTTTAACAAATTGCCGAAACATTGAATATCTATGCTTCACCTATTCTTTTAGATGATATGGACGATGACGGGGGAACGCTCCTGAGATGAGATTATTGCTATTGTCAGGACTGATCAGTCCGCGCCTCAGTCACGACATTTGAAAACCGCAATCCCCACCAACCAAGTTAGATTTGGATTTGCCATACTTCAAGCATAATGTCAAGAGCAATTTACTGGTATTAACCCTCGTTCGTATGAGTATCTTTCGTATGCGATTTCCGTTCTAACCTGGCGATAATAGCATACCCCGTATGAGCAGAACGACTGACCACATCGAGTCATAATCACTTGCTAAGCGAAGACCATTTATCTGTTTAGCCAGCATAGTAGTTTCCTTGTGGTGGGGACTTCTACCATTGCTACTGCTTCCCGGAAATTATTATCACGGAAGAACTTTGAAAAACGGATTTTCCTTCCATTTTATTCCACTCTGTCATGTATGTTTTCAGCAGACAGCTGTGTTTTGTATGTTTGTAAGCTAGTCCTGTTATCTCAAATCATCTTGACTTTATTTAAAAGTATTTTACTTGAAACCTGTACGCTTAGGCACTCCTAGATTTGCAACTTGCTTCGCTTTCAGTAGTGGTTTTAAAAAAACGAAAAATGGCGAAAGCTCTAAACGTGTATGAACGTACGAGTACGTTTGGAAACTACTGCACTTTATACATGATCACCACGCCGCGTTCTTCTACGACAAATTTGAAAATTATAAATCGAAAAATTATTGGTCAAAAAATCCACAACAAAACCTCGCAAAATACGGTGAAATAGTAAAAATGGAGAAAAATGAAAGTGTGAGTGAATAAAAGGAAAATAAAATGAGAGAGAGAATTTGTGAATTTTACTGTTGGTGATTGGGCAAATAATATATAAACTGAAAAATATGTACATATCGTGTTTGAAAATTGTACAAGCGCATTAAAACACTAACGGATCGGTCACGTTCGTTGCGTTTGTTTAAATTTCATGTAGTTCCTAACTAGGTTTAATTTATTATGTTTAAAAACAAATTATACTTTGAACAAAGTGCATTAAAAAAATTTTAAAGAACATTTAAGCCAAGTACGGTTAAATTGCAATAACGGTGTATTTGTTAATAATGTAAGACAAATAGTATTAGTTTGCAAAAATTTGAGGTTAGCTTTTTTTAGTTCAGTATTTATTCTTCTTTTTTAGGTTTCGTTATTCTTTTTTATCGATGGTTAAGTGTTTCTTATTTTTAGGGTTTTTTTTCTAAAAACTACGATGTTTCGGCATCTTGGGCTAAATAGTTAATACTTTTTATATCAACCCATTTTACAAAAGTTTAAAAAATGCGTTAAAAAATGGTAAATCCACCAACATGGTTCAATGCCTTTAAGTCCATGTCAAATTGTTTGTTGTAATGTCGTCGGAGATTGGAACATGTTTTTAACTGCCTTAAAAAAAGGCCTATCTGAAAAACTAAAATTTACTATTTAATCTTAGTTTACCATTAACAACTATAAGTCAGCCGATGCATAGCTTAAACCTTTATCAACTCAATTCTGAACCATGTCGGGTTCGAAACTCATCAACTCTGAATTTAACCCCAATGTTTGAACTAACAATTCCACTTGGGAAAATAAAAGCTAAGGAATAAAGTGATAGTTTACACGTATAGAGTACAATTTTTGAAAACAGTACTCGTTGTTTTAAAGAGTTAACGTTTTGACATTAAACAGGTCAAATTCTTTCACATTTTAAGACCTGCCAAATTACTTTCAATGTTTGAAATAAAAATTTGATCAACGTAAAAATAACCTGGAAATACTGATATAAAATATCGCTAAAAAAATGCACAATTTACGTTCAGTGTCCAATTTACAAAACGTTTTTGAATCCTTTTTAAAAAGCTAGTTCCTACTCACAGTAAGTTGTTTTGCAGCAATACGATTTCGAGCCTTTTAGCTCATCATCAGGTTGAAGGACTTCTACAACCACGTCTCTCAACATGAATTGCCAAAGTGAAACCCGCTGATACCTCCGCCAACGCGACGTTCCAATTAGCAGCTGATTTTTTTAATGGCGCTCAATTTGAACGTGCGAAACGCGGATATTATAACGCAAATAAATATTATACTAATAAATACTTAATATTATTAAATTACTCTAAAAATAATAACAATTAAAATAATTAGTTTAATTATTTGGATGTTTGATATTATTTATGTACATATTTAAAATGGGAGGTAGATCAAAATCTGTTATATTATTAATGCATTTATCACCATGTTCAATTTTACATTTTTTAATTTCAAATTTCTCAAACCAATCTAGTTCTTTCCCTTTGTTGAAACTATGTAACACTCTTGTATTTAAATTTGAATTGAAATTATGTTTTGTTTCTTTTAGATGGTCCTTAAATTCCGAAAATTTGCTCGATTTAGGCAAGTGTTCTTTTACTCTTGTTTTTATTTCTCTACCGCTTTGTCCTATATATTTAATATCACAATCATTACAATTGAGTTGGTAAACCCCGCTTTTTGCCAAGTTGTCTACGTTGTCTTTAGGTTTTGAGAGGATGTTTTTAAGTAACAACCATAGGTCAGCCGATGCATAGCTTAAACTTTTATCACCTCAATTCTGAACAATGTCGGGTTCGAATCTCATCAGCTCTTAATTTAAAAATCAAAGTTCTTTGGACTGGCGTTTTCCGATGCAACAATACCCCAACACCCAATGTTTGAACTAACAATTCCACTTGGGAAAATAAATGCTAAGGAATAAAGTGATAGTTTACTCGTAAAGAGTACAATTTTTGAAAACAATACTTGTTATTTTAAAAAGTTAACGTTTTGACATTAAGCAAGTCAAATTCTTGCACATTTTAACACCTGCCAAATTACTTTCAATTTTTGAAATAAAAATTAGATAAACGTAAAAATTACCTGGAAATACTGATATAAAATATCGCTAACAAAAATGCACAATTTACGTTCAGTGTACAATTTACAAAACGTTTTTGATAACCATGAAAGAAAAAAATAATTTTAATTATAAAAATAAGAATTTTTCGAAAATAGATGATGTACGTATCGGGTTGTCCGGAAAATAATGCAGGATTTTAAGTTTTCATTAAAAAAAATCTATATAAAATATTCTGTTTACGTTTACAGGATTACTCATTNTTGATTAAAGAACATTGCTTTAAAGTAACTAGTTTCTTTTTTTTTGTTTAATACCAAAATCCTGCATTATTTTCCGGACAACCCAATATTTACAATAAACTACTTAATACGTTTCTCGGGTGCCAGGAAATCAAAATTATGACTTTTTAACTAATTGTAAGTGTCAAATAAATGAAATCACAATGACAACTACAAAATAATCAACGTAGAATTAGTGTGTACATAATTTATTAATAAATAAGAATATTTATTTATTTTAAAATTCATTTTTTTTAAATGTAAAGTAGTGTAATTCGAACCTACCAGAACGTCTTTAGTGTTATATTAAAGAAACTTATAATTTCTTTTTTTTGCCTTACAGACATTCAGTCAATGTCATTTTGTTGATGAAAATTCTCGCTAACCCCAACGATCTGCTCCGACCGAGCCGGGCCACCCCCAAAGAGCACTACCCTATACATGCACCCGCCTCTCATTTGGGTATACACCTGATTTCGGTACCATTAGAAGGATGTGGACAAAAACCTCACATGGCATCAGATGCCACTGGAAAAGTCCGCATCGACCCCGCTTCACCGGTACCATTTGCCCTTTGCTTATGGAACAGTACCGGAGGCAACAAAATAGTTTTAAGGTTTAGATACGACAAATTTGACTAGGATCAAAAATTATATTTTTAACGTAATAATTATAGTGGAGATACAGTATAACGAATTTTAAATATTGCTAATTATTTAGATTAATTGTAGGTCATTGGTGATGTCGAGATTTTTTAACACCTGCATTAAACGAGAAAAGTATTGAGTGACAGAACGGGAGGGAGGGAGAGAAAGAGAGAGAGAGAGAGAGAGAGAGAGAGAGAGTGAGTGAGAGTGAGGGAGAGAGGAAGAGAGAGGGAGAGAGAGTGAGAAAGACAGAGAGAGGGTTATTGAGTGGGTTGGTTTTTGTGAGAAAGGAATTCACTTAGAATTTTAGTTCCAGGTGAATGTGATTATTTTATCTTGTAAATATCAGTTCATTTTGATGATATGTTTGATATATTGATGATATATGTGTGATATTTTTCATAGTAATTGTCCTAGAAATGTCACGTTTTCCTTGCAATGTTACCTTACATGGTGTAATAAAAGGGGACTTCCTATTTAGAATAATTTTTTTTTGTTAAATTATGTATTAATTTATTTATTGCTAATGTAATCAAAATAAGTATACATCGAGCAAAAAATAATATATGTAGATAATTATGTAAAAATCCGACAGATCTGTCAGACTTGGAGGCAATGGAGAGAGTGGCTTAAAAGGGTAAGGTAGGAGCTCACGAAGGTCACGAATCTTTAGACTGTGTGGAGGATTATAAGGGTCAGTTGTTGAGCAAAGAGTACTTTTTTTATTAATCATGCAAATTATTTTTTATGTTACTACAAAACAATCTCATATTTCAAAAAAAAATTAACCTTGTGTGTTTTATGTTTCAGAAGCTGATTACACTCTCGATGACTCGTTTTGGAACGAAGAAAACCCAGTGGGTAAGTAAGGCAAACACAGCTCAAATTATTAAAGTACATACATGTAGTAATTCACTGGAAGGGACATCCACCCTTGTGATGAGGGGTAAAAAGGCTCCAGCTGATTTTATTTGCGGGGCGAGGTTCGACGGGCCCACATCGGATGTACCCGACCCCGGAAGTGATTTACACGGCGTCTTTGATATTAAAACTCGCCCGCTAGGCCCTACATCTTTACCAGCCACTATGGGTCTTATCGGAGCCAACTTTGATACATGGCCTTACAAATTTCTCGTATTTATGGTGGAAAGGGGTTCGTGAACCGCTGACTGCGGAGCCAATATTGCCCGGGGGGTCGTTTAACATTACCACTGGTGGGGCGGGGGTGAATTCAAAAATGTATATAGCAAAACGAAAAAAAATTGGTTTAACATTAACTGACGTTTTACCATTAGAACGGGATGAAGCATGAGACATTTAAAAAAAATAATTTATATTGTTATTAATAATAAAATTCTTTGGTAATAATTTCTACTGGAAACTCATTACGAAATTTTAATTAAATTCATATTTAACAGCTGGGTGCAGATCTTTTTACAATTACCATACCAATTACTAACAAAAAGTAACTAACCTTTCTTAGTTTTAATTTTGCAGCATAAATAATAACAACAATGTACCATTTTTATGTGTTTTCCCTAGAATTAAAGACTTTTCTTGGTCTACGTACAGGGCGTTCGGCTACTCTTGTTACAAACTTTGCCAATAGTTTCTACAGTCAAAATGGAACGGAAAAGTCATAATTAAATGTGGTCCGAATCGGAGCTGTTTCGAAGGTATTCCACTTTTTCTGATTTTTTAAGATTTCATGACCTTGCCTCAGATAAACAATGATAGCTCGAAAACTAAAAGTTTTTGGGTAAATCCGTTCAAAACTGCTTTAAATTCCCAAACAAATATTTTTCAAAGTTCTCGCTGCTAAAACACTTATTTCACACACGTTTACAAGTTTAATATTGATCACATCTTATTGGAAATTTTTGTTTTTCAAAGTTGAAAAACTTACTATGGTGATTTTAATCTACTATTTCCAAACCTAGATACTAGCAAATTTCAGAAAACCTAATACATTTATTATCCTTTTAAGTGGTGTAAATTCTATTTTAATTACTTTTTTAAAAGGTGAAGAAATTGATGGAGGACAAGTCCCCCACTTGACAGATTGGGAAGGTGGAAACTTTTAAAAAAACTTAAGGAAATTTTGAATATTTTTTTTTAAATTTGAGTTTGAAATCGGGATAGAGCAAGTGTGTACTTATTTACCAACACGACTACAACTTTGATAAAAGAATTCTCCGAAATAATTTTTTTTAACTCTATAGCTACTTTTACTAATGGAGCATATGATATACAACTTATGTATTGGTTTTGCGGGTTTAATGCGACGGCAGCACGTCGAAAATACATTGCGAAACATGGAGAGCATTTCGAATTAAAAACGAAACACGTTTAAATTAATGTTAAATCCATTCAAAATTTCTTTAAGTTTTTTACTTTTATTATTATTAATAAAACGTTATCAATTCTTCAACCACGGTTTTTTTCCTTTCCTTCATCATTTTGTTCACCTTTAAAAAAAGTAATTTAAAAAAATTACACCACTAAAAAGGATATTAAATGGAGTACGTTTTCTGACACTTGCTGGTCTCTAGGTTTGTAAATAGTAACTTAGATTCACCATAGTAAATTTTTCAACTTTGAAAAAAATATATTTTTCAAATTTCTCGCTACTAAAACACTTATTTCCCGAACGTTTACAAGTAATTAAGGTTTTTAGTTGAGATGAAAAAAAGTTAATGGCACGAGTGGGATTCGAACCCACGACCTTCGGCTAGATACGCCGCTGCTCTACCACCTGAGCTATCGTGACCTCAATCCACTCGGACATCAACTCCCCATCTCAACCCCACCTTATGAGTTTTCCTTCCTTTTTTCCATCTCAACTAAAAACCTTAATTAATTGTAAAATATTAATTGGTCAAGCGGACTCAAAATTAGTGAATTTAACGTTTACAAGTTTAATAGCAATCACATCTTATTGGACATTTAATGTAGTTTACAATGGTATCAACGGATTTGTCGAAAATTAATTAATTTTGAAGTAATCATTTTTTATTTGAAGCTAGGTCGTGAAATGTAAAAAATCAAAAAGTGAAATAACTCCGAAACTACTGAGATTTAGACCAAAGTTAATTAGGACTTTTTGTTCAATTTTGAATGTATAATCTTCTGGCAAAGTTAACGCGAGTAGCCGAACACCCTACATACATTCAACGAAAAAGAACGGACACTCTGTATTTATTCATTATTTATTATTTTTAGTTTATTTTCATAAATTTATTCGTTATCTTCTTTTATTGATTGTCAAATTGCTGAAAGTTTTGAAAGTATTTTAAAAGTTATCATTAGCATCGGCATCAATTTTGATTAATTGTTTTCAGTAAAAAAGATTCGACGCAAAAAAGAGATTCACTAAAGACTGCAAAATGCTGCTTGGATATAATTTATTGCGCGGGATTTCGGAACAGTTTTTCCAAGGATGACAAAACTGCTAAACAACAAATAAACGAGAGAAAATTATGGATAAATGGTAGATGTATCTATACTTAAAACAACAGCTATAAGTATTGTTTTTACGACGAACACTGTGTGCGAGTAAACAAATTAAATTGTATAAATTAAATCATTTTCGACAATTTCTAAAAATTTAAGAAACCGACCAAAACTTGTGATCGTCAGAAACGACAAATTGGATTTTTTTATCGTTGTCGGGAAATTCAAATTATGGGTCAAAGCATAAATAAGGGATCCTTTCAAGTGAGTTATAGTTAAAAGGGTAGGCCATAGTGTAGGAGGGTAGGAGGGGGAACGAATAAAACCAATTAACCCTCCCCCCCCCGTTTGAAATTTATTCTTTTGGACCCGACCCAAGGAGTTTCTTGTTTAGGGCATAACAAAGTTTTCGAAGGAGGGATGGATGTAGCCGTGAAACCCTCACCCCGTTTGGTGAAGCGCGTGTGTAAATTACAAGTCGAAAGTTCCCGTTTGTGAAGTATTGGGTCTTCGAAAATGGAGCTAGAAGTTTCAAACGCTGTAGAAAATATTGTAAAAGTGAGTTCAAGTGTGGTAAAATTAACGGCTAGGCTCCAGGCCTCGGGGCAGAAGTTCACGACGAATCCGAAGAGAAGGCAAACTGAATTTTGACTGCTCAGAAAATACCGCAAATAAAGTTTTATTCTACGGAAAATAAAGTTAAATGTTAAAAAAAGTTAAATGTTAAAGAAATCACATCATTTTATTTTCTATTGTGTTGTTAATCATTTCCTCATCAAAACTGAATCAAAATCAACTGAAGTGACCATACGAAAATATTATTTATTCTTATTAATTATATTACATTGTAAATTATGAAGTTACTTAAATTGAGGACAGTGAAGTAGTCAATATTCCTGAATCGGTCCTCTCACATTACAAATTTAATGTAATAAATACATTCACTCTAAATATAAACAAAAGAAAATATAAAACAGAACAACAACATTTGTACCTATACACAATAAACGGCCCTGTTTTCTCAAAAATGCAAACAGAGGACCAGGGGAGTGTAATTTTTATGTCTGTAGCATTCCTATTCGCTCTCTATATAGAGCCATGGCACCCCTCAATAAAAATAGGACACATCGAACGACTACCGGAGGCCAAAGCCCAGCAATGTGTTCTAAATCATCTGCAGAATATTTACATCAAATCACGCACTATCTAAACTTTCATAGTTTGATGTGACAGACACGCTAAGCTTCCAAACATATGGGGGAAAATATTTTTCAAAGAATGCATATTTAATCTATTAAGTTCTGTTAATTATGGCAGAGAATTGTGAACAAAAAATGATGACATGAAATAAAAATTTAAAAAAACAAATTCACATTAAAACACGGTATGTTAATTTGGTTTTACGGCCACATCTGGTTGAAGAATAACTAGTAAAAAATATTGATGAAATAATTGATAAGTACATTAAATAAAATACATAAAATAAAATTATATATAAACTGCTCAAAAATGAATAGGGATATTGCCAATTTTCTAGTATTTACTTTCCCTAGCATTTTTATTTTATTTGTATTACAAAGTGCATTAACATTTATTAGAAATAATTATGATTTTTACCGAAGGAAAATTTAACTAAGGGATTCCGAAATATAACAAAATACAAGTTTTAATTCCACAATTTTGTTTATTGGACTCATCCATTTTTTTAAACAATTAATTCCCTGTATAATGTCCTTTATTAGCTAAAACTTCTATGTACCTGTTAGGCATACTGTTAATGAGGTTGTCAATAATTTCATAAGGAATTTCATTTAATAGATGTTGAAACGCTGAACTCAGTTTTTCTAGGTCAACTGGCTGCCGGTGATCGAAAAGCCTTCTGTGCAAAGCATCCCACGTGTACAATGGGATTGAGGTCTGGAGACAATGGGGGAAGGGGCAGATGAAAAATTCTCAGTTTACTAAACAGTGATGAACAACTCTATGATGTGTGGCACTGTCATCCAGAAATCGAATTCCCCGGTTTGAGGGATGTATTCCTCGGTAATTTCTTCGACCGTGGTGAGGTTGCCTTCATCAATAGGAGTCCAGATTATCCTCCAGCGTAAATCCCAGCCCAGACCATTACACCGCCTCCTCGATACTGCACTGAAGGGAGCACGAATTGGGGCAATGTACTCTTCGGCGCCTGCCATCATTATACAGACCGAAACGCGACTCATCAGTAAACATAATTCCAATTGGTGTTCTTTTCTAGGCGCTTGCTGCACCATATTCTTCTGAGTTCCTGCTGGCGGGCTGTAGCTGCAAGTCATCTCAAAGGGGCACACAATGTGAAGCCTACTTCCCATAATTACGAATCGTTTATGTGGATATATGCTTTGCCAAAACACCCTGTACTTCATTTA